CTGTAGAAACTGAACAAAGTTATTATTATTCAGCATAATTGTAGGGCAAAGGTTTTCCTACACCAATATTTCAGCTTATACTGTAAGAGCCATGCTGCTAGCAACCCATTTAACCTGAACTAATCCTGTTTTAGTCTTTTCATGCAAATTATGGTTGAATCAAGAAACCACTATTGGCTGCCACCTTTCAGGTTGGACCCGGAGTTCTCTCAGAATTACAACTCCATTTTGTCCATGGGCTCATCTTTGTAGTCTGGAGATCAGTTATAATTCTGAGAAGACGCTGGGCCACCACCTGGAGGTTGGGAATCTTAGCCAAAACACACATGACAGCAGCCATAGGTAAAGTCATTGTTGGAGTACAATGCATATCCTGTCATCATAAATTATCAGCCTGCCAGCTGGGCCATCTATATAGATAACACTACAACAATAGTTCACCTCCTGGATTTTCTTTTGTACATCAGCAAATCTAGTTGTAAAATATTACCGTAGTGTGGGTTCCCAACCGTTTTGAGCCTGCAGGCACCTTTGGAGTTCTGACAAAGGTAGGGCTGCCAAGTCCCCCTGGGGAGCGGGGAACCCCCGCCCCAGAGGCCCGTTCCCTGCCACTGGTGGATTGGGCCCCGGGGGAACCCCGCCCCGACGTGTGCGTCACAAGGAAGTGGCGTTAGGACGCCAAGCATGCTGGGGGCGGGGCCACGACCATCGGAGGGAAAACTCTATGGTTTTTCCTCTGAGGGTCGTGGCCCCGCCCCCAGAATGTCCAGCGTCCTAATGTCACTTCCAAGTGACGTGCGTGTGGCGCACGTGTGCTTTGTGCGCACGTGCACACTCCATTCACCGCCCGGGAGTCCCCCGCTGCGACAACTGCAACGACTTGCCAACCCTAGACGAAGGGTTGTGGTGCAACCACAAAATGGCTGCTGCAGAAGAAGGGACTGGTTAGAAACTGGGAACAACCTCTGAGCTTGTTAGCCAGAGGGGAGACACCTGTTGATCATCAGCCATTACTGCTGACTGAGTCATTGTGCCTCTTTCCTGCATATAAGAACATAAGAACATAAGAGACGCCAATGTTGGATCAGGCCAAAGGCCCATCCAGTCCAACACTCTGTGTCACACAGTGGCCAGAAATACCAGTGCCATCAGGAGGTCCACCAGTGGGGCCAGGACATTAGAAGCCATCCCACTGTTGACCCCCCCCCCAAGCACCAAGATGACAGAGCATCACTTGCCCCAGAGTCCCTATCTATACCTTGTGGTTAGCCACTGATGGACCTCTGCTCCATATGCTTATCTAATTCCCTTTTGAAGCCGTCCATGCTTGTAGCACCCACCACTTCCTGTGGCAGTGAATTCCATGTGTTAATCACTCTTTGGGTGAAGAAGTACTTCCTTTTATCCGTTCTAACCCGACCGCTCTGCAGTTTCATGGAGTGCCCACGAGTTCTTGTATTGTGAGAAAGGGAGAAAAGTACCTCTTTCTTTACCTGCTCTTTCCCATGCATAATCTTATAAACCTCGATCATGTCACCCCTCAGTCGTCTTTTCTCCAAGCTAAAGAGCCCTAAGCGCTTTAACCTTTCCTCATAGGGAAAGTGTTCCAACCCTTTTATCATTCGAGTTGCCCTTTTCTGCACTTTTTCCAAAGCTATAATATCCTTTTTAAGGTGTGGTGCCCAGAACTGCACACAGTATTCCAAATGAGGTCTCACCATTGATTTATATAGGGGCATTATTATATTGGCTGATCTGTTTTCAATACCCTTCCTAATAATCCCCAGCATAGCATTGGCCTTCTTTATTGCAGTCACACACTGTCTCGACATTTTCAGTGAGTTATCCACTACAACTCCAAGATCTCTCTCTTGCTCAGTCTCTGCCAGTTCAGACCCCATCAATGTGTATTTATATTTAGGATTTTTGGCTCCAATGTGCATCACCTTGCACTTGGCCACATTGAACCCCATTTGCCATGTTGACGCCCACTCGCCCATCCTTGACAGATCCCCTTGGAGTGCCTCACAATCCTCACTGGTTTTCACCACCCTGAACAACTTTGTATCATCCGCAAATTTAGCCACTTCACTGCTTACTCCCATCTCCAAATCATTAATGAACAAGTTAAAAAGCAGTGGACCAAGTACTGATCCCTGCGGTACCCCACTGCTTACCACCCTCCACTGAGAAAATTGCCCACCTACACTCACTCTCTGTTTTCTATGAACTAGCCAGTTTTTGATCCATAAAAGGACTTGTCCTTCTATCCCATGATTTTTGAGCTTACTTAGGAGCCTTTGATGAGGAACTTTATCAAAAGCTTTCTGGAAGTCAAGGTAAATAATATCTATTGGATCCCCCTTGTCCACATGTTTGTTCACCCCCTCAAAGAACACTAACAGGTTAGTGAGACAAGATCTTCCCTTACAGAAACCGTGCTGAGTCTGCCTCAATAGGTTTTGTTCATCTATGTGCCTACTAATTCTTTCCTTAATAATGGTTTCCACCAATTTACCCGGTATCGACGTCAGACTGACTGGCCTGTAATTTCCCGGATCTCCTCTGGAACCCTTTTTAAAGATGGGAGTGACATTAGCTACCTTCCAATCCTCAGGAATGGAGGCAGATTTTAAGGAAAGATTACATATCTTTGTCAGGAGATCTACAAGTTCACATTTGAGTTCTTTCAGAACTCTCGGATGTATGCCATCTGGGCCTGGTGATTTTTCAGTTTTTAAGTTGTCTATCAGTTTTAGGACCTCCTCTCTCGTCACCTCAATCTGACTCAGGTCTTTCAACACCCCTCCTGAAATCAGTGGTTCTGGAGTGGGCAAGCACTTCTCATCTTCCACAGTGAAGACGGAGGCAAAAAATGCATTTAGCTTCTCAGCCATTTCCCTATCATCCTTCAATACTCCTTTTACCCCTTGGTCGTCCAAGGGCCCCACTGCCTCCCTGGCTGGTTTCCTGTTTCTAATGTATTTGAAGAAAGTTTTATTGTTGGTTTTTACGTTTTTTGCTATATGCTCCTCATATTCCCTTTTTGCCTGCCTGACCTCAGACTTGCATTTTATTTGCCATAGCCTGTGTTCCGTTTTATCAGCCTCACTGTGACTAGCTTTCCACTGCTTAAAGGAATTCTTTTTACTTTTTACAGCCTCCATTACTCTGTTTGTTAACCATGCAGGCTTTTTCCTATACCTGTTTGTGCCTTTCCTAACCTGCGGAATATATATTTTTTGAGCTTCTAGGATCGTAGTTTTAAATAGATCCCAAGCTTCCCCAATTGTTTTGACCCTTTCTACTTTTCCTTTCAGTTTCCTCCCCACGTGTCCCCTCATATCAGAGAAATTACCCCTTTTAAAGTTAAAAATGGTTGTGTGAGTCTTTTTGGCCAATTCTCTATTTGTACAAATGATGAACTCAACAACATTATGATCACTGTTTCCAAGCGGTGCAATCACTTTTACATCTCTCACCAGGTCTTGAGTGTTACTTAGGACCAAATCAAGGATCGCCTCTCCCCTGGTAGGTTCCGTGACCATCTGCTCCATAGCACAGTCATTTAGAGTGTCTAGAAACTCAATCTCTTTTTCCCGGCTAGAACACATATTGACCCAATCAATGTGTGGGTAGTTAAAATCACCTATTATTACACAGTGTTTTTGTCTAGTTGCTATCTTTAAGGCATTCATCATTTTATAATCCTCCTCTATCT